TATAATAAACAGAATATTACATGGGCGCTTGGAGATACGCAATTTATCTTCTCGTGTTGAAAATCTCTCACTCGTTCGCTGCGCTCACTTGTGAGAGATCTTTTCAACACTCGAAGATAAATTTCGTATCTCCGCGCGCCCATGTAATATCCTCTATATATTATCATAACAAGCTGGTTTACTTGTAGCATATATTTTTTCTCTGGTCATCCTACGCGCCATGAAGATAACAATTTTTTACATTTTGGATCTACAAAAGTGGCCTTTTTTCGAGTCGGGTTACTTTGTGTAGCCTTTTATCTCTAATGTCATTTGTTTTAGTATATCACCAAGTGCAAAAGGAGCAGTTCCTGCCTTATCTAAAATGAGTCCTGAAAAACAACAAGAGAATAACGGACATGAGTCACATGATATCGCTTCAGCAATGCGCATGGCAGGATTGACGGCTATGGCAACCCCGCTACTCCTCGATGAGCCCACTAGCAACAGTGTTCTCTTCTCAGAGAGAACTTGGGTAATTTTTTTTCTTTGATCTTAAACTCACACCTTAGTTTTCAAAAATATTTATTTTCGTGTGGTATACTTTCACTCATAACCTCATACATTAATATCTTTCTTGTGGTCTTTCTCAATAGACTCCAAGTCGAGGTTGGACCTAATAAAATACAGTAAACATATGAACACATCACGTCCAACCTCGACTTGAAGCCATTGTTTTGTGGTCAAGCAAAAGGGCTACTGAAAAACTTTGGTCGTAAGAACTGGCTGACTAAGTTAAGCCAGCAAAGACTGACTATGAACAATACAACGAATTTTGTGATAGGCTGTTCAAATCCACTGCGGTGTTGCGCACTGATCGACTTATTTTTTCATTTTTCCTTTGATAACAGTTTTCACGTAACAACGGCCACGTCAAGAGCGCTATAAACAAGTACGACAGCCTAACTGGAAAAACATTGTTGGCAAAGACCGGTAAGGACATATCACCTCTGCGCGCTCAATTTGACATGTAAGTACCTTATCATGATAAGTCCATCATCAACAGTATCATTTACTGTCACTCTACTCTAACCCTGAACACTCGAGTTTATTTTGTTTATTCATTTATTTATTTTGTTTGTTTATTTATTTATTTATTTGTTTGTTTGTTTGTTCGTTCGTTTGTTTATTTATTTATTTATTTATTTATTTTTTATTTGGGTAAAAATACTTTCCATTTTTGTGTGTGTCTCATCATTTCATCTCCTTGAATAGCTTGCGACATCTCAAAATACGCATATAAAATTTTGCTTTTGAAGGGTTGATGGTCCAAGTAAACACATTGAAAACAGACCATCGTTGGTGGAAATTGCAAAGAAACTCGCCTCAAACCAGCGAATTACCTCAGATGAAGAACAACATGTTGACCAGTCGTCATGGCAACCAACGGCCATTGCGTTCGTTGAGGGGAGGACTGGGATGGATGAAATGGAGAGCGCGGCGAATGAAAGAGCAATGAATCAAGCAAGACAAGAACAAGAGGAAAAGGTCAGTGTTTTTTTTATTTCAAAAGGTCGCGTTAGATAAGAGAATTCAATTGTGTTAAATTAACTCCTGGTAATCTAGGGAAGAGGGATAGAAAGAAAAAGAATGAAAGACGGCCTCCGTTTCTTGTCTTCCTTTCCTCCCATTCCTTCATCCCCTTCAGATCTTCTTGGTACTAAATTCTTAGGATTCATTATGCTTTCATTCCATTTTATGTAGCATGTTGTCCAGCCAATTAGTTTCCATACATATTCAATTACATAATTAATGCCATTTTTCCTATAGTTGATATTATACGTTTTCTTACTAATATCGAGTTGCTCTTTTTATTTCTGGTGTTACTTTTGACACAACTGTTCATTTTAAAAGGTGAAGGCTGATGTGACCTGTGAGTGCAATGACCAATTGACGATACTAATATCACTATAAATTTTCTTTCTTGAATTCTAGCTTCGTCTTTTGAAAGAAGACTTCTCTTCTTTGGATAAAGAATCCACAGACAGCCCAGTAAAGAAGGACTTCTCGTCACCAATCTACAAGAAAACATTTATCGCCTCGGTCAATGAAACACCCAAGTCAAAAGATAAAGTTAGGAACAGCGAAAATGAACACAAACAGCTTGAAACCCCGGTAATTCAACACATTCTTATAGTTTTCCCATTTAAGACTACGTTCCCCTAGAAATAAGATTATTTGATTGAGCCTCGTGCAAATGAAAAACGCCGTTAACTTCTAAAAAATTACGGTTAAAGAAAGAAATGATACTCAAGGAAATGAAATGAAATGTGGTTTAAAATGGGAAGGCATTACATCCAAAGGTTAAAAGGTCTATAAAAGAAATAATACTCGAGGGAATGGCATGTTATCTGAAATGGAAAACTATTACGCCCAAGCTTAGGAAATAATACATATCGGAACACCCCCCCCCCCTCCCATTATTTGTATGCATGTACTATACGGGTTTTTGCATGATTTCGGCAAACTATTTGGTTGATAATATTGTGGTTGTTATTTCAGCGTGACTATGCGAAAGAGGCAGAGTGGCGTAAATCTCCTGCTTTAGCGAAGAAGGAAATGGAACGACTAATGGTCGCCCTGACAGAAACCATGTCTAAAGAAAGAGCCGAGGCATCAATACGATTCTTGATCAGCATGTTTAGGTATGGTGCATGATGATTAGTAATGATGGTAATGCTGCTACACCTGGTAATACTAATGATGCTGTTGTTGTTGATGATGACAGAGATGGTAATGGTGGTGGATCATGATCATGATGGCGGTATTGATGATTTCTTTTAATAATGTTGGATGATGATGGTGACAGTGATGGTAATGGTGATGATTTATGTTAATGTTATAATGGTGGAAGATGACCATGTATTAAGGATGTTGGTAGTGATGCTGATGGTGATAGTGATGTTGGTAGTGATGCTGATGTTGGTAGTGATGCTGATGGTGATGGTGATGATGATTTATTATGATGGATGATGATAGTGTTGATGATGGTGATGATAATGTTGTTGATAGTGATAATAATTAGGGACGAGGAACTCTATTCCCTTCCAACTGATTCCCAACTTATTCCATATTTCAGGCGCATCCAGCGCAACCCAAAAGAAGACAAGTATCGTCGGATCTTCAAGAGCCGCGTCAAGTTCAAGAAGTACGTCTGGACTGTCCGCAACGCCAAGATGTTCATGTTCGCAAGTGGTTGGATTGAGGTGAATACCCAAATCCATTCGTACGCGTATTCCTTGATAAACTCGATTCCTTATGCCTCTATATTTCTTTACCCTCAGGTCGGTAGCTTTCTCTTATTCTCTGCTAACAAGAACTTGCGTGAGCCATTAGCTATACTAARCAAACACTTGGGGTAAGTATTGGTCTAAATATTGCACATATTAGCCATTTAAYCACCCCTCCCCCGGCACCCTTCCCACGTAACTATATATATTAATTATATACGTATTATATATGAGAATAAAGAATCCCGCAACACTAGAAGTAATTCTTCAGCTGTATTCAGAATATGTGCCTTTCTTGTTGTAGGTTGCTTACTACTGGTGCTTCTGTCCAGATTTCAACCATCAAATCAACTCCAAAACGAGATCTCAGTGACTCAAGGACTCCACGAAGTGCAAGGGCACTTCCTTTCAGCATACCCAGTACACCCAGTACACCTAGGACACCCAAAACCAACAAGCACAATACTGTTTGCAAGACTGGCTTAACTGCAAGCCTACATAAATCAAGTATCCGCAACAAAGAGGAAACGCCTACGAGAACCATTAAGCACACATCTGTGGACAAACGGTTCTCCAAGAGCGTACCCTTGAACCTCGACTCTGAATGGGATTTGGAAATGGAACACCCCCTACTGGAGGAAAGTTTGAGCCAGAGTGCTGTAAAACGTGGTCGTCTGACTTCAAGTGCTCTTGATGTTGGCGGTAACAAGACCTCAAGTGGAACCATTACTCCTTTAAGCATGACACCTACAAGGATGCCTGCTACCCCTGATGTTGCCGTAATGGAAGAGATCGAAGGTTTGTCTAATACTCTTGATGATCTCTTGGAATCTATGGAGGAAGATCCTATTGAAGGTTATGATAGCAAAACAGACACCAAGAAGAAAAGCCCTGTTGTCCATGAAATCAAAGATCTGTGTACGACTCTGGATTACATGTTGGACAGCTCGGAGGAAGAAGAGTTGGATCGGGATTTAAATCACTGGAAGACACGAGAAGGCATTGTCAGTGRCGTGGCTTCTTCAGCTACATCTACTAGCGCGTTTTCCAAGGTACACTTACAATCACCTTCGTCCAAGACCATCTCTACCTCGGAGACATTTGAAACTAAAGATGAAATCTCTGCATTGTTGGACAATAATCTATCATCTGTCGAAATGAGTGCAATTAATGTCCAAGACTCAAAGAAAGACTCGTTGGAGAGAAGCGACAAGAAAAAGGATGATGTCAGGAAAACTGATGTATCTGCGCCAGTTTCTAACTCTATAACAAATGACTTAACATTTAATATACAAGAGAAAAAGAAAATTTCACTGGAAAATAAGAAAAAGAAAAGTGATGGCACCTCTAAGAAAATTGGTGCAGCATCTAAAGGTACAGATAATGTTAACGCAGAAGAAAGAGAGCAGTATTCTTTGCGACCTAGGAAAACAAATTCCAAGCCTGCTTCCAACAAATATAATGGAGATGCCAAAAACCTAAATGACAGCAAAAAACCTTCGAGGAGAAAGCTTCCTAATGACCCTGACAAAACAAGACGTCCTCGAAGTGTCAGTGATGCTCAAATTCAGAAAATTGCACCACCAAGCTTGAAATCTGCTTCTAACCCACCCAAGAAAGAAAGGCCTTCTTCTAGGAATAGTGTCAATTCAGAGAAGGAAGCTCAAGAATCTAAAACTGACATCCAACGCAAAGTCTCTGATGATAATGTCGTTTCCAACAATGGAAATGGCAAAGTTCGAAAGGACAAACCATTTGCTATAAGCAAAGTTAAAAGCAAATCCACTGCAACTTTAAGTGACAATACGATTGAAGCAAAGAGAAAGAGTTCCGCCAACAGGGTGTCCAACACCAGCAATCTCTCTTCAACGTCTAAATCCAAATCAGAAATGAATATATCTGGAAAACTCAATTATAGCACCAGCTCAAAAACTCACGACAAACAAAAATCATCATCAGTTTTGAATCGTAAGCAGTCTTCYTCGTCCGAAACAATGTCAACGACTCAGGAAGTTGAAAAAATACGAAAGATGCCTAGGAATTCCAGGCAGCATTCTGAAGGTAACAAGAAGGTTGAACTTGATGCAACAAGTGAGTTTAAGAAGCCCAGCGTTCCAAAGAGTCGAAGCCGGCGACCAGTGACTTCCAAGACTGCAGGAAAACCACAAGAAAGTACAAGCGAAGAAAGCCTTTCAACAAGCAGTCTTGATACTAGCTTGAAGAGTCGTCCGCCCAGTGGTTTGGAACGAACTCGAAGTGCAAGAGCCAGAAAAAGAAAAGATATTGCCTCGAAGCTCGATTCCTTGGAAATAAGCTACGAAACTCTTGAAAAGAGCCCGAACAGAACTTTGAATAAAAAGACTTCTACGTCGAGCATAGAATCTAACACTTCTTCCTTAACTAAAAAGGAAAGTTTGACAGAAACTGTTAGAGAACAGCAAAGGTACTCATCGAGAAATAAAACTACAGTTTCAAGAACGAGTTCTGCAGCTAGTCGATCAAGTGCAACCAGTGGAGAAGACATTCCTGGTAGCTCTAGGACGAGGCGTTTAATGTCCAACGACTCCTCGATGACAACAAGGCGACGATCTTCAGCGAAAAGAACTCCTTCAAATGCTTCTCTTGAAAGAAAGAAAATGGACGGCCTGCTGACAAAAGAAGAGCAAGAAGTGCTGAGAAAACGTTCAAAGTCTTCAAGCGAGAAGCCTAGTACAAGTGCCACGAAGGATAATCAAGAGAAGGTTCGCTCGCTTCGTTCTAAAGCTGTTGATATCTCACAACTACGACGAGCTGATTCGAGTGGTAGTGAAAGCATCAGAAGAAGTGGCAGTTTTAAAGCTAAACATCGAAGAGCTGCGACCAGATCCTCGAGCAAGAGTCAAGATGATACACAAGCAACAAATTCTTCTCATTTGGAGCACAATTCTAAAGCATCATGCAAGAAACTTCCAGGTTTCAACGTTCAAAAGAATGTTAGATCAGCTGATGACAGCTTTGATGACATCCCAGTCTTGGCGAAGGATGGCGAAGATAGTGTTGCGGATGGACCTACCGATGCTGGTGTGGAAAGTGCAGCAGGGAAAGATGATAGATATCAAAATGAAAACTTACCATTCAGTCTAAGACGAAAACTATCAGCTGATGGCAAAAATATGGGATTCGACACGACTGATTTTATCTCGACAAATATTGAACACGACGAACATGCCAAAACTAGTACACCAACCAATTGCGAACAATATGGCACCAAAGATATCGAAAAGAAAGTTAACGAAAGCAGAGACGTTCAAGAGGAATCCGATTGCATCTCTCTAACGGACGATACAAAAATGGAGTTTCGGCTGCACAATACTGGTAGTTGGATGGTCCTTGATTACAAAGGATTAAAAGAAAGCCCACGAGCAAGCATATCGTCCATTGAGTCTCTGAAGAAGAACACGGCGGAGAAGATGAATGACGATGACATTAGAATGGAAGGCAATGCTACCGAAGATGAAGATGAGTCAACTTTGACGCACGATAAAGAGAATGGAGATCTCGTCAGCGCTAGAGAAGATAAACTAGAGTCTTTGGCATGTAATGGTTCCGCGTTAGAAAAAGGCAATGGTTTTGTCCCTGTACACGAAGAAAGTGACGAGCATGCTCAGAATGGAGGCGTAAAACCATACTCCAATGGAAAAGCATCAAATGGACAAATATCACACAGCCATCCCCCTAGAAAAGAACCCATTAAAAAGAAGGTGAAAGACATGAATGAGAAAGTAAATCCTAGAAAAATGAAAAGCCAAAGCGTTGAAAACCTGACTTCGGACAAAAGCAGAGTAACGTTTGAAGAAATACAAAACCTGAATGTTCCTCGTGCTTCAACACTAGATAGATCCCCAAAAGATGCGAAAAAACAAGTCACATTTCCATTTGGGCTGAGAAAGAAAAAGATCAGTGGGAGCTGCTCTGATTTGAATGGACGAGCACCAGAAATTACCATTGAAAGTCCCACTAAAACAATGACTGGAGGTAAGCCCAATGGTCTAATCTTGAGCCCTGATGACAAGTCGTTTTCATCACCCCACGACAAAAGCTATGAGAAAAAGAAACTCGCTCCATTTAAGATGTTTAAAAAGAGRAAATCAAAAGATGCGAGTACTTGACGTGTTAGTATCTCTTGGCAACTGGAGTAATAAAAGATAAGCCACCTTGGCCCGACTGTCCGGCCTGTATTCATCAAGAGAGTTGAACACGAACCGAAGGACGACTTCCACATAATATATGGAAGCGACTCAACCACGCAGAATTTAGAGCACAAGGCTGAACAGTTAACTTCATGAATTTAATTTGAATATTTCATTTCCTTTAAATTTTATTGATAGTTTTGTTCTAAGAATAAGTGTCCACCAAATACGTTTTTGCGAAATAACTTTAATAACTTTTTTCAGTTGCCCTTCCTTACAATTTTTGTGATTTTAAAGAAAAATGTGAATTTTAAAGATGTGTCTTTACTGCTGCATGACATGAAGGGCAACTATTGAATAAGTCTCTTACGCAGACGCCATAAGTGTCGTCACGCAACGCTCACTCCCCTAGTTAAGTTAGTAGCTACCAACTAGGGGAGTGAGCGTTGCGTGACGACACTAATAGCGGCTGTGTAGGCCAGGAGACTATTATTGAATCTAAAAATTAATATATTGTATTTTTATGACTTCTGGGTATAACGCATCAGTGATATTTYCAAAAGTAATTCTTTCCGCAAAGCGCATTCATGTATTCAAAGCTTGCCTTTTCTGGTATCTTCC